TTCTGAATAGAAAATGTAAATAACATCCACGTTTGCTGGTAAAGGACGAAAATAACGCAGCCCCCCCTCACCATCCCCAACAGAAAACGAAATATCCTCCCCCCCCACGGCCAAATGATAAACGACAAAACTATACCACCCCCAACAGAAAACAAAAGCAACCCCACACCCCCATCTTCCACCATCCCTTCAAATAAAAAAAAAAAAAAAAAAAAAAATAAAATAAAACAACCCTACTCCCAACTTAACCCGAACAGAAAACGGGAATAACCCCCTCACTGTTCCCCTAACAGAAACTGGGAATAACCTCCTTATCCCGAAAAAACGGGAATGACCCCCTCACCGTCCTTCTTCAACAGAAAACGGGAATAACCCCTTACCATTCCCCCCAACAGAAAACGTAAACAACCACATCCCCTCCCCTAAAGAGAAAATGGAAGAACCCCTCATCACCCAAAAGAAAATGGGAAATCCCCCTTCCCTCAAAAGAAAACGGGAATAAACACTCCTACAACTAACAGAAAATGGGAATAACACTCCATTCACCCGAAAGAAAATGGGAATAGCCCCCTCACCTTCCCAATCAACAGAAAAACGGGAATAGCCCCCCTCACCTTCCTCACCGGAATAGCCACCTTCCCCCAACAGAAAACGGGAAATAACCACCCTTCCTTCCCAACAGAAAACGGGAATAGCCCCCCTCACCTTCCCACAGAAAACGGGAATAGCCCCCTTACCTTCCCAACAGAAAACGGACCCCCCCCCCTCACTTCCAACAGAAAACGGGAACAGCCCCCCCCCTCACATTCCCAACAGAAAACGGGAATGCCCCCCCCATTACCTCCCAACAGAAAACGGGAATGAAACAGAAAACGGGAATAGCCACCCCCCTCACCTTCCCAACAGAAAACGGGACCCCCCCCTTACCTTCTCACCAACAGAAAACGGAATAACCACCTTTTCCTTCCCAACAGAAAACGGGAATAACCACCTTTCCTTACCAAAGAAAAACGGGAATAACCACCGTTCCTTCCCAACAGAAAACGGAATAACCCCCTCCCTTCCAACAGAAAACGGGAATAGCCCCCCTTACCTTCTCAACCAACAGAAAACGGGAATAGCCCCCCCCCTCACACAACAGAAAAACGGAATAGCCCCCCTCACCTCCCAACAGAAAACGGGAATAGCCCCCACTCCTCACCTTCCCAACAGAAAACGGGAATAACCACCTTTCTTCCCAAGAAAAACGGGAAAGCCCCCCCTTACCTTCTCACCAACAGAAAACGGATAACCACCTTCCTTCCAACAGAAAACGGGAATAGCCCCCTCCCCCCCACACCTTTCAACAGAAAACGGGAATAGCCCCCTTCCCTCACCTTCCCAACAGAAAACGGAATAGCCCCCCCCCCCCTCACCTTCCCAACAGAAAACGGGAATATACCACCCCTTCCTTCCCAACAGAAAACGGGAATAGCCCCCCCTCCCTCACCTACCAACAGAAAACGAGAATAGCCTCCCCCTCACCTTCCGAAAACGAGAATAGCCCCCCCCCCTCACCTTCCCCAACAGAAAACGGGAATAGCCCCCCCTCACCTTCCCAACAGAAAACGGGAATAACACCTACCTTCCCAACAGAAAACGGGAATAACCCCCCCTCACCTTCCCAACAGAAAACGGAATAACCCCCCCTTCACTTCCAACAGAAAACGGGAATAACCACCTTCTTCCCTAACCACCCTCCTTCCCAACAGAAAACGAGCACTGCCTGTCTCCGGTCATGGTTCCCGAGGACGACGCCAGCTCGACCCCGCCAACTTGCACCCGCTGCGGAGAGACCGTCAACCCGGCCACTTTAAAGAAATACAACGAGATTATTGCGTACACAAGAAGACGATGAGTATTATGTCGCGGGAGGAGAATAGTAAGGGTATCTTTCTTGGGTTTTTGGGTTTTGTTAAAGGGGTTCGGGTATCGTAATTAGTTGGGTTGTGTGGTTGTTTTGTTTATTTTTTGGCTGTGTGGTTTGTTTGTTTTGTTTGTTTGTTGTGTGCTTGGTTAGGTTAGTTTTAAGTGTTTGTTTGTGTTGTGGATCTTGTTTGGTTTATTGTGTATTATTTAAGCGTTGTTTGTTTGTTTGTGTTTGTTTACCTTAATTAGCTTAAAGTAGCTTGTTTTTTTGTGTACTTTCCACTTTATTTGTTTGCTCTTTATAAGTGAATGACGTTTTCTTTTATTTTCTTTGTTTGTTTTTGGGTTGTTTTTGTTTATCGTTGTTTAATTCCATGACTTGGATAGTTTTTTTGTTTTTTTTAAGGGGGAATGGAGCTAGTTTATCAATCGAATCATATTTATTACTGATAAAAAAAAAGATAACAAACCAATGAACAAATCAATTAATACTCCAACTCTCCTCTCTCCCACCCCACCTACCCCCTACCTACCACCCCCCCCCCACCACCCACCCACAGATTACGAAACGTGTTACGACCTGTTGGAGAAG